GTCCTGGATCAGGGTGGGGGTCCCCACTGGGGTGCCTGGCCAGGCTGGCTGAGGGGCTGAGGGCTGTTTTCTGGCTGGCAGGTGACTAAAAGCTCCCAACCGCTCCTGGTTTTCTTTTTCTTTTTTTAATTCTGGGCCAGCTTTAGCTCTGAGGCCTCGCTGCTGAAAACATCGATACAATGTTGCGATCCAGGGCTGACTGACAGCTGGTTTCTGGGGGTTTTTTTAGCTTCTTATTTGCAACATAGTACATAGTTGCTTAGAGTTGCAACTCAGAGGCCGGCAAGTGTTGGAGTCTGCAGTCACTGAAGCAAGCAAACCTCCCTGCTCCCTTCAGTGCATGGCTGCCGGCCGCCATCTTGGCTGACAGTTAATTTGCATAAGGATACGCTGATTAGCCAATGGGAAGGGTAGCGGTCGTATGCTAATTACCATGTTTCTCTTTTATTAGTGTAAAGAGCCAGGTGCCATTGCAACCGAACCGATGACTGAACAGGCTGAGTGGGGCAACAAGGCCGGCAGGCGGGTTAGTGAGAGATGACCAAACGACTGAACACCAGGCTGTGTGGGGTGACCAGGCTGGCAGAGGGGTTAGTGAGGGATGACCAAACAACTGAACAGCAGGTTGTGTGGGGCAAGCAGGCCAGCAAGGGGGCAGTGAGGGGCAACCAAACTACTGACCAGCAGGCTGCATAGGGCAACCAGGCCAGCAGGGGACGCAGTGAGGGATGACCAGGCTAGCAGAAGTGGACAGTGAGGGGTGACCAGGCTGGCAGGGGGCGCCGTTGTTGGCAACCAGGCTGGCAGGTGGGGCAGTGAGGGGTGATCAGGCCAGCAGGGGAGCAGTTGGGGGTGATAAGGACAGCAGGGGGGCAGTTGGGGCAACCAGTCTGGCAGAGGGCAGCAGAGGGGCGACCAGCTCGCAGAGGGGGGCAGTGAGGGGTGACCAGGCCAGCGGGAGGGGGGGAAGTTGGAGGCAACAAGGTTGGCAGGGGGTGCAGTTAAGGGTGACCAGGCTGGCAGAGGGGGCAGTGAGGGGCGACGAGGCTGGCAGGGGTACATTTGGCGGTGACCAGCCAGCAGGTGGGGCTGTTGGGGGTGACCAGGCCTGCAGGGGGGGAAGTAAGGGGTGACCATGCTGGTGAGGGGGCA